TGATGGATGCACATCACTGAACTTAGACCATCCATTCAACTCCATTCTTGTTTTTTTTTGTGGTTCTTGATCCATTACCAGATTACTATTTTTGGGGGGCCCTAGAAATACTTACTGGTGCTTAGTAGGGAATGGATGGGAATGGGGGAATGGGGGAATGGGGGAATGGGGGAATGGGATTACTGTATTATTACTAGTGATTATGGATCATTCATTCCCTCATTCCCTACTAATTAAGCACCAGTAAGAATAGCTTTGAAAGCACCACCAAGCTGGCCCAGGGACGTAGAAGGAGTTCGTCCTCCAGTCGTTCCAGGGCCCGAGAGAAAACGCACCGCAAGGTGTGGGCAGCGCAGGGAAAACTGGGATGTCACTGGGGGCCTACCCTTAGGTGATCAAATAGGCTGGTAAGGCATGGGAAAACCCTAGTTTTACATCAGTTTTTAGGAAAATCATCTATACATGAGTACAGATGGAGGATTTTCCATTGCAAGGTTTGTTTTCTGGAGTGGATCAATACCAACCATTGTGAACCATCTGAATGTGGGGGATGAACCTCCAAAACTCACAGCTAAATTTTGGTTAGAGAATGAGGGTACGAGGAATGATGTTGTTGAGAATCACATCTCCAGGCCCCACAAATCCACGCACCCTTTTATTGCCAGTGTTTGCCATTTTATGCTTAGAAAACGGAGGCTATGACGTTTCTACTCAATCTTAAATAACCTGCCTATATACCTACTTGATATTCATAAATATCTTGATATACCCGGGGTTTCCGAAAGTGTTGGGCGACTCTTGGTATTCAGTCAACGGTTTTTTTTGGGTCATGGGACGAATCCAACACAGTAGATTCTTCTCGAGGTTTTTAATGGAAAAGACGATGGATGGTCAAAAACTTGGACTCGTAGAATATCACTTTCCAAGTAGATCTGGCGGCATACTAAATACGACAGTCCTAGCTCATCAAATGAGGCGATTTGCAGGGGCTTTGGGCCAGTCCTAAACCAATTTTGGATCGAGCGTACTGCGAGTTGGGGCAAGCCAAGCAGATCGTGCAACCAAAATCATCCAAACTCTGTTGTATTTCAATTCCTTCCGGGGCTGTGTGCCTCCTTGGCAATGACGGCCTTTCCCAGCTGAGTATTCATGCGAATCATCAGACGAACTTCGTGTTTTCCCTGCAAACCCATCGTGCATTGACAGAGAACACACACACATAATATATATATATACATACGTATATATATATATTGTACATATTATGTATTATGTATATATATATACACATATTATGTATATATATATATGTATATGTATACATACACATATATATATATATATTGATATATAGACAGTACATACATATATATATATATGTATATATATATATACACAGTACATATATATATATATGTATATATGTATACACACATAATACACTTATACTTATTATACTACACACTTCACGACTGGCATTTCTTGTTGTGAGTCCTACTGCCCTTTGCAGGATGAAACTGCGTGAAGGTCTGCCAGGGCTGGAGCAGCTGAAGTTGGGTGGAGTCTTGCAAACACTGGTGGGTCCCTAGGGTCCTGACCCATACCCATGTAGTAAAGCGGTCGCAAGACCAGTATTTTATCGATATCATCAGCACTGCCCTCATCCTAAAGGATTGATAGACCTGCGGTTTCCAACGGAACGTCATGGGAATAGCCGTTCTTTCTCCAATAGATGATATCTTCTTAATTTGAGATGTAAGGGGTGAATCATGGAGAATCCGTTTGGGTTTCAGATTTTTCAGTTCATAAGTATCCTGTTGCAATTCTCATCAGATAAATTAATCTCTATAATTGAAATCTATCTTCACCAACTATAGCAGCTGGTACCTTGTCTTCAGCCTTGCCGTCCCAAACTGAAGGGAACTACCTTCACTGCCTTCCAGCAGGTTTCTGCTTCCTTGTCCAAAAGAAATGAACACCTTCTTTGGCGCAATTGGCTCCATGAATTTCTTTCCCCAAGCGGCAAACCAACAGCCGAGATAACCAGCTGCGCGTCTCGGCAGACCACTGCCAGGATGACAGCCGGTCTGCGATCTAGGGCAGCCCCTGAGGCTATCGGACATGGGCAACCTGGTCACTGTTAGAGACGCAGTTATGTAGAAGGACATCCAGAGCCAGTGGATACTTCTCCAGCCCACACGAAAATTAATCTGGAACCCTAAGGTTTCGACAATGGATTTCATTTTCTGATTGCATATAATTCTGACTTGTTTGCTCAAAAACATGGCTTGAATTCCAATTATCAGGTTAACTTCAAATTTGTGTACCGCGGACCAAACCCGTTCTACTGGCGTCAGATGGCAACCGTTGGCGACCACTGGCGTAAAATGGCGGACGCTGATGACTGGGACAGTTGAGGGGATAAACATCCACAACTTCCAGATTTTGATGCGATCTTACCAGGGTTTGAACCTATGCCCCTGCATGCCCCCGCATTCCAGATACAGATTCACGTGCATCGAAGAATCAATTGCAGCAAAGAGTTCTTGGGGTATTCTAAAGATCGGAGGATCTGACACACCACCCAATAGGGGCTATTTGCAAATGGAAAGGATCCCCCAATCAAACAAGCCAGATGGTTGCGCAATTGAACCCTTTGACGCGACAAAAATTACATGGTTTTAAGATGTTTCAAGCATTTTTTTTTGGAGAGGACGGAATGTGTCCATTTTTCAGAACGCACTTGACAACGGACAGATTCGAGATCCGAGATCCGAGATCCGAGATTCGAGATCCGAGATCCGAGATCCGAGATCCGAGATCCGAGATCCGAGATCGAGATCCGAGATCCGAGATCCGAGATCGAGATCCGAGATCCGAGATCCGAGATCCGAGATTCGAGATCCGAGATCCGAGATCCGAGATCCGAGATCCGAGATCCGAGATCCGAGATCCGAGATCCGAGATCCGAGATCCGAGATCCGAGATCCGAGATCCGAGATCCGAGATTCGAGATTCGAGATCCGAGATCCGAGATCCGAGATTTGAGATTCGAGATCTGAGATCCGAGATCCGAGATTCGAGATTCGAGATCCGAGATCCGAGATCCGAGATTTGAGATTCGAGATCTGAGATCCGAGATCCGAGATCCGAGATCCGAGATCCGAGATCCGAGATCCGAGATTCGAGATTCGAGATCCGAGATTCGAGATTCGAGATTCGAGATCCGAGATCCGAGATCCGAGATCCGAGATCCGAGATGAGATCGAGATCCGAGATTCGAGATCCGAGATCCGAGATCCGAGATCCGAGATTCGAGATTCGAGATCCGAGATCCGAGATTCGAGATCCGAAATTCGAGATTCGACACCCAAAAGATCCCTTTAGGCAATTTCCTGCATCATAGTTGTATAATTCGTGTCAATTCTTTATTTCCTACCTAATTAGGTAATTTTTAAGGTAAACATGTCATCTAATTTTAAGGTAATTCGGAACGTGGAGTTGAAAGTTTGCGTGCAAACTTGCGAGGCGGGGCTGAAAGTTTGCATGCAAACTTGCGAGACGAGGTTGAAAGTTTGGATGCAAACTTGCGAGGGGAGGTTGAAAGTTCCAGTTGTTCCCTTCGGGCTGTTGCAGGTAACATCACTTCAGAGCACCCGCTCCATGTGCACATTGGATCCAAAGATCGCAAGGGCATCTGGCACACACGCAACGAACCTGCGGATAGAAGATATAGAAGTGGGAAGGGAAACTTGCCAGTTTTCCTGTCATGAACAAGCCGTTCGTTTCAGGCGGTTGCGGGTAATATCACTTCAGCGCACTCGCTCCATGTGCACATTGGAACCAAGAATCGCAGGGGCATCTGGCACACACGCAATGAAGCTGCGGATAGAAGTGAGAAGGCAGACTTGCCAACTTTCCTGCACCTGCTAGTTGTCACAACAAGCTGTTCTCTTTAAGCTGTTGCAGGTAACATCACTTCAGTTTACAAGTCCGTAGTGGCAAATGGGCCAATTCACAGGCCCTCCACCTCTGATCGACGGCTGGCAGTGTCTTTACTGTAGCCCCTTCGGAATTTCCACTTCATATATTGTCTCATACCACCTTCTTCTCTTCTCAGGTGTTTTCCCATGCGCGAAGCGTGTGAATTGGGTATACTCTGAATACGATCTCGTGTGTGCCACCCATCACGCATTCCTCATGATCTGATATATGGCGCCTGCATCGCCAAATCTAGTTGTTCAGTCGTGGAATTTGGAAGTTACTCTGTTCCCTATATATTACATGTTTCAAAACAATTTCAGTTTGATGTGTGGGTCTTGCCTCAGACCAAGAAGCGGTGACCAAATATCGTACAGGCTGAGTTCGGAACTCTGTTTGGAACTGAGGCCGTCGCCTTTCGCGTGGCGCGTTGATTAAAATGAGACAGCGCAGACTCTACGGCACCTCGGCAGGATGAAATGCAGCAGACTCACTCAGTTACGCTGTTCCCGTATACATGTCTCAAAACGGTTTGAGTTTGATGTGCGCGCCTTGCCTCAGACCAAGGCATGGTGACCTAATGACTGACTTACACGTGTTAAGTTCGGAACCCCGTTTGGAACTGCATGAGGCCATCGCGTATCGTGTGGTGCAAAGAGTAAAAATGAGACAGCGCAGAGATGCTCTACCGCACCTCGGCGGGATGAAATGCAGCAGACTCACTGGTGGGCCCCGCTGAAATTTTGCCAGAGGGCCCTAGAATGGATTCTTCTTTCGTTCTCCTCCAGTTTGTTTTCAGCGAACTATAGGCCCTTTTAAACTTCAACTGGGACAGGCCATTTCGAGTGCAATCCATCATACATCCGCCGCAGAAACGCCCAACAGCAATAAGTGGCCACATGAAGAGCAGTTCAGATTAGACAGCCATGACTAGCAGCACTTGCTACCAACGTTCAGCAATTCAAGACGCCTTTTGTGTTTTTTTGCACTGCAGTAAGCTTGTCACTCCTTCTGTTGCCATGGCAGAAGTTTCATGGGCAGCTCTTCTGCAGCCTCTTGAGGCAAGCGCTGCAGCAACAGTAGTGTTGATTCTTCAGCTCGTGCCCATCCCCCTTGCCGGAGCTGTGTTGCGATCTTTAGCATGGGCCTGGCACAAGCAGTCTCTAGCATCAAATAGCTCGGAGAATGTGGTGTGGAAAGTTGCTCGTTACTTGCCAGCGCTCACGTGCGGACAGCGCACTGTGGCGCCACTGTTGTCCTCTCTCAAAGGCTTGCAAAAGGATTGCCCGACGCTCCCTGTGGTGCGGGTGTCCAGTGCCAGGTCCCAATGTCCTTGCGGCCATGATCTTCGGGAGAAAGCCCCAGTTGCCGAAGCCACCATTGCAAACAATGCGGCTGCGTCTCGGAGGACTAGTAGCAATCGCTACAAGGTTTACTCTTTGAACGCAGGCCTCTTGTGGGCGGATTTTGTGGAGCAGCAGTGCCCGGCTTGCCGCAAGTACTTCTTGGGGAATTGGTCTTTCAAGCGGCAACAGTCTGGCTTCGGGCATATATCAAATTTGCAATGTCAGTCATCCGCCGCAGATGGCTTTTTCATTATACCTCGCTACCGGAGCTTCTTTGCGGTTGAAATAGCACTTCTCAAACACCTCACTGACAGCCTGCATTTCAGCGGAGGGTCGATGAAGGCTGCAGTCTTGGTATGGGCCATGCGTCATTCAGAGGCTTGGCAGCAGGATTTGCTCTTGGGCCCAGACAGAACTCAGCTGCCGCATACCATCAGCAACTTGTTGTCCGCTTGGTATTCTTGGAGGGCCTTTGACATGGCAGGCCAGCTAGCTGAGCCTATTGTTTGGGATATGACCCCAGCCGGCTTCGACGCTTCCTTGTTAGCGCATACAGCGGCCATCCGAGAGCAGCATTTAGATTGGGTTGCGGCCCATATCAAAGCATGCCCTCGCTGTCGTGACAATCCTTGCGTCATTGTGGATGGGAAGGCTGGCGCTCGGCGACTGATTTGCGCAGGCCAGGACAGAGTGTACACCCGGTGCCGGCTTCTCTTAATTTCTTCCGTGGTTTTTGTGTGTGGGTGGGCTACAATAAAGTTCGCGAGCGACCCCTAAAAAAATCTGACTTTGGCTTGAAAATGCTTGAAACTTTTCTTTCTCTGGACCTATACCCGCTCTTTGACAAACATAGGTCCCGAAGACTCGGCGTCCTGGGCGTGAGGTTCCAAAGCAGCTTAAGCATACCCATTTTTCTCATACAGTTTTCTAGAAATCTGCAAGTACTGTAGCTCCGCCCTCCTACCCTCGCTGGCCATGACAGGCACAGATGGTACAGTATCCTTCCCAGACCTTGGCGTAGAATTCGCTTCTGGCTGCACCAACTTTGCGCACGCAAAGCACCAGCATTGCTCTGCATGCCGCCACTTGCCCGAACATGACCACCTCATTGCCGATCAGCTTTCCGTGCTTGGCACAGAAGAGCGCGAGGATGCTGACGGCCAAGGCCTTGAGATCATGTACGTCGTGCAATGCAAAGATCCTTCTGATGCCTCGCAGGTAGTGGAATTGCTTCTGCCGCACCAAGAGGTGCGAAAAGATTTGCTCCTGACCTTTGAAAGAGGGCTTTTGCCACAAAAGACAGATCATCGCAACAAAAAAGCTGCAAAAGCCAAGGGCTCGAGACAAAAAGCTCGGTGGCTGCGAAAAAACGATGCATCTTGTTCAAGCATTCTGGCACCCAAGAAGGCGCGTGTCAAGAAGAAGCCACGTTTGCCTGCCAAGCCTGCCAAGTTAGAGCCCACTGAGTGCACAGTCGACAAAGATACCCACCGCCGCCGCCGAACCACAGGAGGCATTTTGACTTGTGTGCTTAGTTGCGGATTGTTGGCCGACTTCATCGAGATGTGGCGTGGGGAGCAAATGGAATTAGTGTACGTCTTTCTCCTTCAGTTTCTCAAAGACATGCAGACGCGTGGGGTTTCCATTTCTTGCGTTGCCTATGATAATGCTTGCAAGCTGTGGAAAACAGTGCAAGAGAAGAAGGATAGCAGGCCGCCATGGTCTACCAACTTTTCACAAATTGGGCTGGTTCTGGACCACTTCCACAAGCGCAATCATACGTGGTGCTTGAAGAATCTTCCCCAGACAAACCCGGACACACCGCAAAATGCGGCGCTGCTGAAAAACAAAAACACTGAAGCGTGCGAACAGCTGAACAGCTGGATCACAGGAAGAACCAAATCCAGCTTGGAGATGCCACCTGGTCGCTTTGCCATTTATTGGCGCACCTTGTTCCAGCAGCACAATGTTTGGTTGGAGGCAGAGGCTGACTGCTTGCGAAGACGATTTGCCAAAGGCAAGATGCAGCATGATCCTGACAAGACTCGCAGTGGGTAAAAATTGCTACGCAATCATTACCCGTGACTTCTTTGTTCTTGCCGTTTGTTCCTCACATGTTTCATATCTCTTAATACCTTCTGAAAATAGGTGTTCTCCATGCCAGATCCTCATGCACTTCCAAGGATAGCCCAGAAACCTCAACTTTCTCTTCCTTTTTCTTTGCGATTTCGCACCTCATTCAGCGACAGTCATGTCTGGCAGCTCTGATGCCTCCAGGTTTTCATTGTGCACGACCAGCGGCCGCACCTGGGCGCCGTTGAGCAGAGGGGAAGAGCGCTGTGAAAGACAGACTTCCCCGCGTGGCCCGCCAATTCCGTCATTGTAAGCAAACCCTGACGATGTCATGCTGACAAGACACCGTGATACACGGAAGAAAACAATGTTTCGAATCAGTAATCACTCCAAGACACCGGTGATGCATTGACATATGGGCGGTTCCAAGCCAATACCCGGTAAATTGCTCAAAAAGTTCTATGTCAACGTTTGGAGTGGCGAATCGTTATTCCATGGTAACGTTCTATTTGAATCTGGCAGTGGTCAGTTTGAAGCTCCCATTTGAAGCGCCCCAAATTTTTGCACATCTCGCCTGCCTTCCAGGTACATGGTCCAAGCCCAAGGTGCGACAGCAAAGCCTCTGGCTTGGTTTCAGTTGGCGGACGAGAAGGCAGCCCACTTGGAGTTGCTGGCTGCATTAAGATGTGAAGGGTTGAAGTGACCGGCCCCAAGGTTCCATGATCCAAGCGTTTGGGCAATGAAGTTGGGACTTGAGCACGTCCATACTGACCATCCTGTGATGAAAGGTTGCCCGCTTTAACAGTGGAAAAGGAATCGGATTCATGACCGTTGGGTACAGGTGCCCGCTCTTACAGTTGCATCTTACTTCCAAATCATGTCCAAAATGTTTCAAAATCATGTTTGCTGAGTTTGGGGTCCTCCCCGCCTGCCCAAACTAATCACACCCGCATGTGGGAAAGGCTGCGGCGCGACGAGTTCCCTATCATTTGTGTTCAACCATACATTTGCCTTGTGGTACTCTCAATCCAAACGGTTTCTTGCCATCAAAGGAGCCGGTCAGTCTGACTCCGCGACGCAATGAAGAAACTCAATTCAGCAACGCGCCATCCTTGCGCAAAGACTTTTGGAGGGATGCATTGCTTTCTCTATTCTTTGCGAGGTGTTGCCAAGAGGCGGTATGGGAAAGAGAATATCATAGGGTAAAAACATGCATTTCAAAAAAAAAGATTCAAGCTGGTTCGCCGTAGCCCGCAGGTCCAGTGGTTTAGCTGTGTTGTCTGTCTTTACCCTATCGTTGCTGGATGGCAATCCCTGTCTTTTGCCCACCGACTGCCTGTATGAGAATGTCTAGCATTCCCGTTGCCCATGAGCCAAGGCGAAGCAACTTGGTAGGCGGAGAAGGTCCCTGACAGCATTGACATCTTTATCTGCCTCTAAACGCCCCATTTGACTTGCAAATCAGATAGAAAAGTGCTTTAAAACACATCCATCATGATCAAGCCTAATTAAAGTGTGTGCTCTGTTCCTGTGGGAACGCGTATAGTACCCCGCTTGTCACCCATCCGCGGCGCCAAGGTATACAGCGCTGCGACATTCGGAGCCTTCACTGGCCAACTGTATACAAGGCGCAAAGGACATGTCACTGATGCTCCTGCTGATGATAATGATGATGTTGATGATGTGACGTGGTGCGCCACCTGGGGCGAATCGGCGAAGCTGGGTGGAAAGAAGTTGGGCAAGTGATGCAGCAGTGGGCTACCTGCTTCAAATCGCATTAAGCCAAATAAAAGTCAACTTGTTTTTTTCGTTGCGTTGAGTCTTGCGCCGTGAATAGGAAGAGTCACCAGGCAGTAAATGGCCTTTGTCTCATCAGATCCGCGCCTCCCTGAAGCAGGTTTGATGCACGGTGCGCTGATGCTGACAGAATGCAGCACTGTCGCAAGGCTTGCGCTTCACAAAAGCTGTGCAAGTCAGCTCTGCAACGTAGGCAACATCCCAAGAGTCAAACTGAAGATGGTGTCCTCCAGGAACATTGCGTATTTAAATGTGTTGATTACCTGCCCCAGGAACACATGCATCTCCAAAGCCAAACTCAGTTGCTGCAAGAGCCGGCTCTGCTCAAAAGCACCTTGCCCTCACGGAGGCATCCAAGGTTTCTGTCTCGGTGCACGCATTGTAAGATGTCCCCACTTCGACACTTCCTCTGCTTGGCTTTGGTTTGTGGAGCACGTGCTGCGAAAAGAGGGAAATACACGCCAGCGATGCCTGAGGAGCGCACCATGAATGGCAAAGATGTGCGCCAAGCCACAAAGCTCTTAGAGACCATGTGCCCTTTCCCTTCCGAGACTATGGCCCAAACTGTGCCCTGTTCTTGGCAGTTCGCTGGGGCCCTAGCGCGGGCCACGAGCTTGCATCAGAGCTGCGCCTTTGTGCACCTTCTCATCATGTTGTCACTGGTCCTGAACGCCGTTCAAGTCCGTTTTGGAGGCATCTTAGGAAAGTTCCCCAACATCCTGATGCTTCAGCATGGTGAACCTGGGGATGGCAAATCCATTGCCCTGTGGCTGGTCCTTCAAGTTTTGTACTACTTCGACACCATCAAAAGCAAGCATGATGCTGCCAGGCATCGCATCGACTCGCGCCGCTATGAAGAAGCAAAGCGAGCTTACGAAGGAGCGCTTGCAATCAATGACCCTGAAGCTGAAGAGCCAGTTCCACCAACCAAGCCAGAAAAACGAGATTCTGTGCAGAACAAAGGAACTTTCTATGGACGCTTGGGCTGCCTTGTGTTTTGTTTCATTTTTTTTTACCGTTTCATGTCTCCCCTTCTGACTGCTGCTAGAAACAAGTATTGCTTCAGAGGAACCTTGTGAACTTCTGCAATGTAATGAATGTTACTCTAAGCATGCTTCAATGAACTTCTGCGAGCAGAGATCCTGCTAACTCTTCACCGCCACCGCCACAAAAAGTACAACCATGTATAACATTGTATAACCATGTTTTTCTCACTTTGCGACCAAGGATTGGGATGCCTCCTCGAGAAGCAAGGTGGGCGTGCATTCCTGGCCTTGCATGAAGGCAAGTCTTGGCTTTCTGAAGCGTTCGAACATGCCAAAGGCGGAGGCTTGGAGGATTTGAACCAAATTCTCGACCACGACATCTACAAGAACAACCCCGCCACAGGACAGTCTCGCTTTCATGTGCGAAACCCGCATGTTGTGGGCGCTGTCCTGATGCACCTCGAAGAGTTGCTGGACATTGGGAAGAAAGGCGACAGCGTTGCGGGACTCCCACGCTTCTTGATCGGTCATTTCTTATCAGTCTGCAGCAAGGTCTGCCCAGAGAACTTGTCTGCCCAGGAAATGCAAAACTTGCTCCTCGAAGACCCCAATTATTTCAATGACCTTTCTTATGATGAGATTGTCAAGGCTGCAACCAACTTGCTCTTGCTTGCTGATGCGGCTTTTCCTTCTCAGCGTCGGAGAGACGATGAAGTAGGGCCTGCCGCAAGCAGGTACTCCGAGATCCGAGGAATTCACACCATGGAGTTTGCAGAGGGCGTTGTTAGCAGTTTCCAACAAGACTTCAATGAGATGGTGGATGATTACCGTAAGGCCAAGAAAGCAGGCGATGCCAAGGCAGCACTTCTCAGCAAAGACAAGACCAGGCCCCTTCAGTTCATCCCAGGCATCCACATCTTTGAGCAAGGCTTGCTCCACCTCTTGTCCTTGGCAAGCGTCCCCGCTGATCAATGGCAGAACCTTTCCCCAGAAGACATGGTGCGGAAAGTGGCCGCGGTAAATCCAGATGTTTTCTTCAGTGATTTTCTGCCAAGCTCCGTGCCTCCATGTGCTACCCAGCAATCCGTTGATGCAGCATTCTCTCTTTCCAGGTGGTTCCAATCCGTCTACCACTTCAGCACGAACGCTGCTCAAAAGCTGGACGAATTTCGAAAAGACCGTCTTATTAAGACGGACTTGCCGCAGCCGAGCGCCCAAGCATTTGCTGAGAAGCTGCAAAAGGCGGTTGGGCGGTTGGGTTTTTCATTCTTCCTGCCTTAAGAGTGTGATGAATTCTGTGCGTCTTAAGTTTCTATAACTGTTACCACTGGGTGCTAGAGGGGATTTGCCCGTGTCCTCCTTCCTTTGACAGGCTGCTGCCACATTGATTGACCCCGGCAACACCTTTCTGACCATGGACAGGGTTACCTACAAACGCTTTGTCTTCGATGCCAGCAACACGGATGCCGAAGTCTATGCCAAGCACTGCGACCTCATCCTTCTCGCCCTGATTGGCTTCATTGCCATCGGCCATGGAAACTGGGCAAAGGTAAAGTACGCAGAAGATGATCCCAACTTCATGTTGGCGGCCAACCGGCTGCAACTGTTCTCCCCAGAAGTCTCTTTTCAGGAGTTGCGCGCTGCCGTTCCTTTCAATGAAGGGCCCCTTCCCAACCTTGACCAGGACAATGCAGACACTGTGTGTCAAGCATTGGTCAAACTTCTGAAAGGCTTCCCGATTGCCATTGACAAGCTGCCTGACATTCAGGCTCTTGCTGTGCACGCCGACATTCCGCCTTCGCAACCTGATCCTGGTGCATCACAAGCTGTCGCAACTTCTCCGCACAAGAAGCCGGAAGAACAGCATGTGTTGACACAGGTTGCTCTTGGAAATCCTGAGGCCAGTGATGATGAGCCGCCGGCGAAGCGGCTGAAAGACGAACCTCTCCAAGTCGCTGACCTGCGCAATCACAAAGACACGATGACGAAGATGCTGGCTTGGATCCTCAAGCAGAAGAACCATTCTATGCCGCAATGGCGCTTGAATGAAAAAGTGCGAGAGGTTCATCCAACAACAGAAAAATCCTATGTGCTGGCTGCCAAAGTCACAAAGCTTTTGATTTCAGCTACGCTAGCTGTGCCGACGCCAAACAAAACCAACAGCTTTGACCTTGTGAAGGTTCCTCAGGAAGATCGCGATTCCATCGTCATTGAGTTGGAGAAGGTTGGCATCTTGAAGCCTGGAGACAAGCAGAAGGTCACAGTGCAGTTGGGAAAAAGAGACACTGCAGCAGTTTTTGAAGAGTGTAAGTTCCAGGAGTGCATGGCATTGTGTGCTGAAGGCTTCAAAGGACACGCAGAGTGAGGGCATCCTAGACAAAGTCGCATTCTTCACCGCATCGTGACAAAATGCAAACTTGGCTCCTGCAATCTGCCCTGCCACTTTCTCATTCACCCAGCACGCTTGTGCCGCATTTACTTCTGCTGCTTGTTCAGCTGCAGCATGTTAAGAGCGTGGTGCATGTCGCCAGTTGGATCTGATGCCGCATTGCTTCCCACCTGCAGGCCACTTCAAAGGGCCACCGCCCTATGCTGCTGGGCTCACATTCTGGCTGGAGCTAACAAGGATTGGGCAAGAGTACCTTTGGTTTGGCCCTGAATTCATGGTGATGATTCTGATGGATCTGGTATGGGTTACCCTAAACAGTATATGGCCACACTTCAAGTTCTTATGCTATTGGTTAAGGCCTGGTGTTCATTCAAGGTGGTCTCCGGGGTGTCCGGCAACTTTGGCGACCCTTACAGCACCAAAGTCCTTCGATCTCCTGTTTTCGACAGAATCTCGCACGAAAATGGTGTCCCAGAAGGCTCTCTTCCGAAGGTCTAGTTTTACCGGCGCGCCGTGCTGTTTTTGGTGTCACGTGCTTGTTTTTTCTTGGATCTTCTCTGGCACTTGTACACACACACACACGCTTGATGCTACTCTGTAGGATCTTCTCTGGCACTTGCATACACGCACACACATGAGGCTACACTGTAGGATCTTCTCTGCCACTTGCAGACGCGCACACGCATGAGGCTACGCTGTAGGATCTTCTCTGGCACTTGCACACGCGCACACATATGAGGCTACGCTGTAGTATCTTTTCTGGCACTTGCACACACACAGACACAGACACACATACATACACACACACGCACACTTGATGTTACACTGTAGGATCTTCTCGTGCACTTGCACACGCATGATGCTACTCTGTAGGATCTTCTCTGGCACCTGCACACACACACACACACTTGATGCACTCACACTTGATGGCGCTTCTGGGACTGTGTGTACCAAAGAGAAAGACAGGAGAGAAATGTCTGTAGATCAGGCAAGAAGATTTTCATTCGAGTACTGAGCAGGCGTGTTACTTTTGTTGAATCTATGTCCATTTTTCGTAGCAGGTGTGAGCCTTTGGGGACAAGAGCTTGTCAAGAGAGCTCTTATAGAGAGCTTGTACGGAGATCTCTTTCAGAAATCTTGCCAAGAGACCTCATATGGGGAGCTTGTCCAGAGATCTTGCCAAGAGGTCTCTTACTTAGATCTTGCCAAAAAAAAAGCTTCCAAAGAGAGTTTGTACAGAGATTTCATACAGAGATCTTGCCAAGAGATATCCTATAGAGATCTTGTGCAGAGATCTTGCCAGGAGACCTCTTATAAAGATATTGCCATTAGATCTCGTAAACAGAGCTTGTCGAGATAGCTTGTCGAGATATGTTTTTCAGAGAGCTTGTACGAGGTCTTGCCAAGAGACGACCTCTTGTAGAGTCTGTAAAGATCTTGTACGGAGGCCTTGTGCAGAAAACAGAGATCTTGCTAAGAGATCTCCTCTAGATTAGAGGCTTGAGCAGAGATCTTACTTAGAGATTTCTTAAAGACATTTGCAGACATCTTGCGTGGAGATTTCTTGTAGACACCTTGTACAAATAGCCTTCAACCTTGCAAAGGGATCTTGCACAGCAGCTTCTACAGAAGCTGTCACGAACATCTTGCACACGATGTCCTACAGACAAAGATCTTCGCCAAGGGAACTTGCAGAATCTAAAAACTGGTATCTCTTCGGCAAGTTCAGATTCGAGATCCCAGATCTAAAATCCAACTTCCGAGATTCGAGATTCGCGATCCAAGATCCGAGATACGAGATCTGAGATTCGAGATTCGTGTTCAAGATTCGAGATTCGAGATCCGAGATCCGAGATTCGAGATTCGAGATCCGAGATCCGAGATCCGAGATCCGAGATCCGAGATTCGAGATCCGAGATCCGAGATTCGAGATCCGAGATTGGAGATTCGAGATCGGAGATCCGAGATCCGAGATCCGAGATTCGAGATCCGAGATCCGAGATCCGAGATCCGAGATTCGGGATCCGAGATCCGAGATCCGAGATCCGAGATCCGAGATTCGAGATTCGAGATCCGAGATCCGAGATTCGAGATTCCAGATTCGAGATCCGAGATCCGAGATTCGAGATTCGAGATTCGAGATCCGAGATCCGAGATCCGAGATGCAAGATCCGAGATTCGAGATCCGAGATTCGAGATCCGAGATCCTAGATTCGAGATTCGAGATCCGAGATCCGAGATTCGAGATTTTCCCGCGGCGCCGATGACCATTGTCAGGTTCGATCTCCCCTTTTCTATATAGTTTCCACAGGCAACGATCCTCACTTTTCTTCTTCCCCCTGCTTTTCTGGTTATCACCAGCTTGCTGGGGACAACTATCAAAGTTGGGCATCGCTGCTGCAGCTCTTCTTTCTTTTGGCGACTAATGCTCCTCAAGGCACCCTTTTCTTCTATGAGTGCGTGCATTTCTGCCTTAATCGCCTCGTCCCAGAGCTCGACATCTCGTTCCAACTCTTGGGGACGGATGATCTTGGTCTGAAGGATCTCGCTTCCTTCCTCTTCTGCTTTGCGAAGGGACTTCTTCCAAGGTTCCAGTCTTTGAAACGCCAGCATGGCATTCTCGAGGCACTCCTCCTCAACTGCTTTGGCTTCTTCCTTCAGCATAGATCTCAACCTCAACAGACCTTCACCATCACCTCGGTGGAGAGGCCTTTTTCCTCTCACTCTTCTCCTTTCTTGAACTTCGTCTCTTTCTGCCTCCTCCATCAAAGCCAGCCACATCTCTTCGGTGGGTGGTGGCGGACTTTGGACGTTCTTGATGACGTATGGGGCAACTCCCCATCTTCCATCTTGACGGAGAATGCAGTGACCATGTGCCTCGATCATTGGCGCAAGGTATCTGCTGCTCTCGTGAGTAGCTTCCAACGCCTTGGTTCTCCATATCCTCTTCTTTACCAGCACTTTCTCTCCAAATGCTGGAATTTTCATGTCTTCATGCTTTCTCCTCAATCTGCTAGTCTCCATGAGATACCTGAGAGCCATCGGCCACCATGATTTGTCCATCTCGGAACCATGCAGCAGTCGCTTTGTCATTCTCTTGATCTCCTGAACAGCTCTTTCCACTCTTCCGTTTGCCTGTGGATCTTCTCCTCCATTTGTTGTATGCATGATACACCTGCTTCGAGTCCACTGCTTGAAGCGGGAATTCATGAACTCTCTTCCACGATCAGTGTGGATGCCTTGAACAGGAAATCCATCAGCTCTGAGCTGCAAGTAAAGATCCATGGCCCCGCTGAGTACATCTTCTTTTCCTTTTCCTTTCAAGGGAATAGCTACCCGAAGAACCTCGATCTTCGGAACAGGTGGAGCCTCTTCTCTAGGCCTGCCCCCGTCATCCTCTTCTTGTCTTGGGGCTTGATCTTCTTCTTCATCCTCTCTTCGAGGTTGTTCTTCTTCTCTCTCTTGAATCTCTTCTCGTTCATCTTCTACGTCTTCTATCTCTGGCCACTGTTCTTCTTCTCCTTCAGCAACCTCAATCGGGGGATGTTCCTCCACTTCCTCCTCTGGGTTGTCATCAGGCGGTCTCAACCATGTGTATGTTCCGATGAGCATAAACTTGGACTCGCCTTCCACGTCGTGTCCCTTGATGAAGGGACCACAAGTGTCCAGGTTGAGGATTCCAGCTCGTGGATGGCTGACTTTTGAATGCATTCTCCCCCTCGCTGAAGCTTCCTGACAAACCTGGCAGTCTCTTCTGAAAGGTGTATGTCCTCTCTGTATGTGCTCCTCCCAGCTCATCTTCGCATAACGCACTTTCTTCGCCATGACTGCCTGTTGAAGACTCTCTGCAACTTGCCTCATAAGACCTGGGACCCATCTGGCCAAGTCCTGAGATGAGGCAACAGGCTTCACTTCCTCCTCTTGAATCTCTTCATGCAGTTGTGGGACACACAGGCGAAGATCTCCTCCAAAAGTGGTCGGTTTGACTGACTGCCCGACCTCCAAAACTGGACTGGCGGAAGGTCTGTTCCTGAAGCTGGTACATATTCTGCAGTTTCTTCCATTCCTTGGTGCCCCAAAAAGACACCACCTCAGGGACATAGTGAGAGGGATCTGCTGGCTGCTCAGTGCCAACTTCATCTTTGACTCCTCTCCCTTACCAACTGCCCTTCTGATCTCCTCCTGCACGATGTAGAGCATCAGCCCTCTCCACAGAAGCACATCGTCCTCCACAACTTTCTTCTGCTCTTCTGCCGTGTTGGTTGACTTCCCCCACGGCTCCTCCCAAGACCGAACTGGCCTTGGTCCTCCCCCTGGAACAGGAAGAGGGTAGTGCCGCAACACAGACCGTGTTCGGCAATTCGGGCCCATCACCAAGGCTTTCAGTCCACCATCCAGCGCAGCTCGCAAAAGCGATGGATATGGACCATCATGATCTCTCAGCATGTCATGTGATCTTCCATGTCGTTCTTCTGAATCTCTCTTGATGTCTATCTCCACAAGAAGGTTTGGATCGCCACCCACTTCTTTGAAGGCTCTGGCCAAGGAGTATCCTTCTGATTCTCCTGCATAAAGGTGAGCTACAAAACCTTCTTCTTTCATCTTTTTCCTTTTTCTTCTGTTGCAGCCCGGAATGGACGACAAATCTTCTGCCGGGCTGACCACCAACTTCTGCTGAATGTGCTGTGGGAGCTCCCTCAAGACTGGATGTGCCTTCACCAACTGTTGAAGCCACCTCTCCACAGCACTCCTTTCCTCCTCTTGTATTTTCTTCATCCTCTTTCCTTCTTCTAACTCCTGAATCAGCTGAAGTGCCTTCTTCTTTGGGATCTGCGGACACCCGTTCCGCATGACGACCTTCAAAGCACCCTTCTTTGGATGTTCCACTTTCATAGACCCTTCTTTCCACGTGATGACATACCCTAGCTCTCCTGCTAGCATTGACATAGGAACAATGGGTTCCACGTTGCCATCCTCGATGACCATGATTCCTTTCGGTGTCATCACCATATCCACTTGGTGACCATCCGCAAGGGTCACACGTACGTTTTCACACATTGACAAATCTTCGCCTGGTCGTGCAGCTCGCATTGGATGAGTTGCACCACTGTCCAAAAGTCCATAGACAGTTCCTTCTCTTTCCATCTTTGAAATCTTCAAAACCTTGACTTTTCGAAGCTCATCCAGTTGATCTTGCATGGCCGCAAGACGATCTTGCCTGCCCTTCTGCTCCTTTTCATTTGACTGCATAGTCAAACCTTTCAACATCTTCGTTGCCTCTTCCAAAAGCCCTTTCATCTCAGCTGAGGTAGAAGACGGCTCCTCAGATGGTGCTTCTGGCTGAGGAAGCTCCTCAGTCCTTGCTGCTCCTTCTTCTTTCTTCTCTTGTCTTTGAACCATCTTCTGGCTTCCCTTTCCTTCTGCTCCCTTTCCATACTTCTCTCCATTTTCCTTCGAAGCTTCTCGTGGCCTATCGCAAGCTGGCGCTAGGTGTGCGACTGATCCACAAATCCAGCATCGACGCTTCTCGTCGGTGACATGGGACCAGCTGCAACTCTTTCCTTTCTTGCATCCTCCATCCGAAAGAAAAAACTTGCATGGTGGAGTAGACGTCTTCTCGCCCTTCCCTCCTTTGCCCTCTGCACTTTTTCCTCCAGATCCATTCTCCTCAAATCTTTTGGCCTTTGCTTCTTGAACATTCTTTGCGTCTTCACGCTTCCGTCGATCTTGATGTGCAACCTGTTCAAATTCCGCAAGCAAATGATGTGCAAACGTCATCACTGAATCTTCGCATGGTGCTGTGTCGATCTGCAGCGACGACTTTGCCAGTTGAATGCGAAATGCAAGATCTGGGTTGTCTCTCAACACCCTCTTTGTCAAGCGGCCAAGACCTTTCACCAAAATTGTGGAGTCAGGTCGAACGACTCCTATTTCGCCAGCTCGTCGATGCCAACGAAGCCACCGACGAAGGCCTGTAACTGCCTGGGAAAGTCCAGCAGCTTCCTCTGGAGAGTCCAGAGCCGACAAAATGGCTCCTTTTTCGCTGAGGACACCATGCTGATAGCACGTCATCAGCCGAGCCAACACGTTGATGGCAGTCACCTCCTTCGAAGCAACCACTTCTTCCTGCTGAGACTGCGGTATGGCAGCCATGAGAAGAGCAGTGACTCTCTTCTCGAGTCTTTGGTACCTGGGATGTTGCAGGTCTTCTGGAACCTGCGGCTTATGCTTTACCTTCTCCAAGGGGGTCTTCTCTTGGTGCTGAATGTACCAACTTCGGGCGGATTGCAGCATCTGTTCCCACCATTGCTGAGAGGTGTCAGAAAGATCTCCCATAGCTGGCTCAATTGTCAAAAGCCAGTCAGTAAGATCCAAAGGCGCCGTCTCAGCCTTCCACTCTGAAAGACGGGGCAAATCTGGAATTGCACCCTTGACGATCTCCATGTCTTTTGACTTCTTTGCGTCCACAATCTGAGATTGCAGCACCTGCATGCCCTCCATGAGCTTCATCATGCCTTTCATCATCATTCTGATCTCTGGCTCTCCTGCGTCCTCCGCAGACTTTGAACTTCCGCATTGCCTTTGGGGGTCTTCAGCCTCCTTTGAATCTGGCGGCCTTTGGGCTTCATGAAAACTTTGGGGGTCTACAGCCTCCTTTGATGCTTCAAACCTTCGGGGGTCTGCAGCCTCCTTTAATGCTTCAAACCTTCGGGGGTCTGCAGCCTCCTTTAATGCTTCGGGCTTTCGGGGGTCTACAGCCTCCTTTGATGCTTCAAACTTCCGGGGGTCTGCAGCCTCCTTTGGTGCTTCGGGCTTTCGGGGGTCTGCAGCCTCCTTTCGATCTTTCCTTGAACCCTCAGGAGTGCCATAGATGGAACTCCTGGCGTTCCCAGACTTCAGCAAACGATTCTCTTCCTCCAAAACTTTGAGCCTTAGCAAAAGGTTCTGTCGCTCCTCTTCTTGGCGAAACCTGATTGCCTCAGACTCCAGACGCAAACGATCTCGCTCTTCCTGAAGAGCAAGCAGCCTTCTGTCTTCCATCTCCAACCAATTAGGTCTAGATGTTCCCAAATCTGTTCCATAAATCCATGGTGCCCTATTGTGAAGCTCCTCAAACTGTCTCAATTGCTGCTCACTGAAAAGTGGTGTGAACATGGGCTGTGACCTGGGCTGGGACCTAGTCAGTGCAGGTCCTAAATCTGCCCTGCCAGACCTGTCGGCCGGAGCGTCACCTTCATTCCCAGCTCCTCCATTTGGAACAGCTTGAGGCGTTTGCAGAACTTCTTGGCTTTCACTTCCCTTTCCTTTCCCACTGGCTCCACTTCGGACAGCTGGAGTGGTCGGAGCAACAGCAGGATTGGGGGATTTCTGAACTGAACCCTTTAGAGATTCTTCTACAGCTTCTTTGGAAACATCCTCAACGGCGGGGACTTTCTGATCCTCTATCGCAGTCTCTTCTACTCTAGGGGACTCATTTTTTGGGCTTTGTGGTTCTTCAAAAATCTCCTGACCTTGATTGGCTGGATTCTGTTGATCTTCTATGGCTTCCTCAGTTCTTTCCCTAGAAAACCGATCTTGCGCTTCTCTCATTTGTCTCATCCCTTCATTCAACTCCTCTTGGGTTGCCCTTCTATGTCTAAGAAGATCCATTAGCGCCACCTTGGGCTCATAACCTGTCTCGTTGAGAGCAGGTTAGAGGCTGCTCTCTGGGGTTACACTTCTCGATTTGTGCCCCTCTTCAAATTCCGATCTCCTCACCAACACCGCCCGTTAACGCACCTCGTCTTTTTGATACGAAAAACGGCTGCATGCAAGCAGTCAAAGATCACAGCTGAAATTGTACATGGAGTGATGTGTTCCAAAATGATGAACAAAATTATATACCAACCTTTATGGTATTGTATCTCTACACCGTATAGATATATACACATGCATACGTGCATGCATGCATACATGCATGCATACATTACATTACATTTACATTACATTTATATACATTACATTTACATTACATTTACATTACATTTTCATTACATTTGCATTACATTTACATTACATTTACATTTACATTACATGTGCATTACATTTACATTTACATTTACATTACATTTACATTACATTTACATTACATTTACATTACATTTACATTACATTTACATTACATTTACATTACATTTACATTACATTTACATTTACATTTACATTTACATTTACATTACATGATATTACAGTTCATTGCATTGCATCGCATCGCAATACATACATACATACATGCATGCATCCATACATCCATCCATCCATCCATCCATCCATACACACAGACATACATACATGCATACATACATACATACATACATGCATACATACATACATACATACATACACACACACATATACATATACATATACATACACAGACACACATACACATACACATACACAGACACACATACACATACACACACACATACACATACACATACACATACACATACACATACATATACACACATACATACACACACATACATACATACATACATACAGACAGACAGACAGACAGACAGACAGACAGACAGACACACATACACACATACACACATACATACACGTACACACATATGTATACACATATACATATACATATACATATACATAGACATATACATATACATAGACATACACATACACATACATATACATATACATACATACATACAGACAGACAGACAGACAGACAAAATACATACATACATACATACATGCATGCATGCATGCATACATACATACATACAGACATACAGACATACAGACATACAGACATACAGACATACAGACATACAGACATACAGACATACAGACAGACAGACATACAGACATACAGACATACATACATACATACATACATACACAACCGTATATTATATATACATATACACATATATATTCAATTATATGGACATACTTTTTTTACAAGTTGTAGCCCTAAAAAGAGGTTTCAAACAGACCTTAGACCAACCCCAAAAAACAACCAACCGTAAAAAAATCCTTAGCCAACCCTAAACAAACACGAAACCAACTCTAAAAACCAACCGCAAATAACTCTTAACCCAACATCATGCTTTGTTTACACCCAACATGGTTGCGCCCCAACCTAGATTCTCCATGTTCACACAGTGCGTGTTGTGCAGTAGATACACCTTGAGTACCATAGTCATAGCATGACTTGTGAGAATGGGCATTGTGCAAATGCCTCCAAGAATTTGCAATTTTTCAGCTAACAAGAACTCGAGGGTCCAAAATGTAACAAATGACATGTTTTAGCTCCAAAATGCAGAAAATACCATGGAAAATTGCCCCCAGGTTGAAAAACAATACATATTCATGAAAGCCGAACCCCTTTTTGAAGGAATGCTGTATACAAAACATTACAAAACATTTTGAGCAGCACCATGCCTTCTGAAAGGCATGCAATACTATGCAAACTTGAACAAGGAATAGCACCTTCTTGATCTTGGGTTGCCAAAACCAAACGCGACCCTTCAATTTTGCGATACCGTACGAGATTGCCGACCTTCCGATGGGTGGCCCAACCGTCTTCCAAAGACCTAAACTTTGGAAAGCGCCAGGCCTTAGCATCTACTTTGCGCACCAGAGTCTGAGTGACGCACCGGGCGACGGTTTCAATGTTTTTGTGGATTCTGAAGGTCTTTGCGACGCCAAGGATCATAGCTATGGAAGCAAATAATATGACGCCAAATTGTTTGCCGTCCTGAGGTTCAGGGTTGTTCCAACTTGTCAAAAGTGGACAAAATCGAATGAAGTCATTGAAATCCCAAGAAACCATTTTGCAGTGTGCTTCGCAGTCTGGCTGGCGGGTGTTTGAAGCAACCCTGAGGTTTGTGGTTGATGTGTTGATTTTCAATCGCAAAGGGACTTTGGATGCCGGTTTCTTGGACAATGTGACCTGCCTGAATTATATGGTTCAGCTCTTGGGCAAATCTGACCAAGTGGCCAAGATCCCTCTACTGGTGACGTTGCGCAACTTCTCCCTGATGGATGGCGAGTTAGATCCACAAGAGTACTTTGGTGATCTGACTTCCCAGAGCCTGGGTTGCGCGTAGTGTTTAAACCTCTCTAAGCACTGTGAGGGGTACCAGGGCATAGGTGCAGTTTCCAGAAGTTGAACAGAACTGCTTGACGTGTCATTCTTGTTCCTTCAAGGTCGGACAGAGCAGTCGCTGTACGCAAACGACCCTGTTTTAAAAACGCCTTATTTGGTCGATCTAGTTGGACATGATACTGCGACATACTGCAACATTGTGTTCTTGTCTACAGTTTCCAAACCAATATCCTGAAATAGGAATGTGTCAAAATCTATTGCGCCACATTTGGGGGGATGAACATCCCTTTGGCAGCTATTCACCCCGCTTCGCGTGGGGTGGCCGCCCACACCGCAGGTTTTTTTTGGTCCGTCAGAGGGGCTAAGGGTGGTGTGGAATCCCCCCGTGGAGGCTTCCCAAGCTAGGGAATTTTCGCTTTTCCTCCCCGTGGGGGCTTCCCAAGCGAGGGAATTTTCACTTTTCCCCCGTGGGGGCTTCCCAAGCTAAGAATTTTCACTTTCCCCCCCCGTGGGGGCTCCCCAAGCTAGGGAATTTTCACTTTTCCCCCCCGTGGGGGCTCCCCAAGCTAGGGAATTTTCACTTTTTCTTGCCGTGGGGGCTTCCCAAGCTATGGAATTTTCACTTTTCCCTCCCTTGGAGGCTCTCCAAGCTGCGGAATTTCAAATAGCTAGACAACGACGCCTAGATAGTCCCCCAAATCCCGTGTTCTTTGAATGTGTTTCCTTCAAAGCACGGTACTTTACACTTTTGTCGCCATAAAACCGGTCGAAAACATCATGTTCGACAATGCATCCAATTCCCTTATCTCCCCAACCGTTGAAAATACCGCTATTTACAGTGTTTTCTTCAATTTTTCCATGTTCCAATGCCGGTAGCCAACTCCAACATATATATAAGAAATCCTTCCAAAACATTGCTTTTGACAGTGTTTTTGTAATGTTTCCAGTCAAGCGTACGGTAATTTACACGTTTTTTGCTATAACGTCAGTCCAAAACACTTGTTTTTGCAGTGTTTTCAATGCTCTGGCATCCAAAAACCCTGCAAAATCTTGCTATGTACAATGTTTTTTTCATTTTTGGCCGTTTTTCCATTGCCGGAAAGCTACCAAAATGACCCAAATTCCATTTCAATACCCTCTTGCGCTCAGACACCCAAAAATCCTCGAAAAATGTCGAAAACACCACCTAATTCTGGTCTCGGTGCGAAACCGTTTTTGCCCCCCCCCAGCTAAAGCTGATATAGCGACTGCTATATTAACAAATGTGATTGAGCATTTAGTGTAACTGTTTCCCCCCAATAAGCACGCCTTCACTGCAAAGCGGTGTGGGCGGACTTTCCACTTTTGTCGCCATAAAACCGGTCGAACCCATCATGTTCGACAATGCTGCCAATTTGGGCTTCCCAAGCTAAGCAATTTTCACTTTTCCCCCCCGTAGAGGCTTCCCAGGCGAGAATTTTCACTTTTCCCCCCCGTGGAGGCTTCCCAAGCTAGGGAATTTTCGCTTTTCCCCCCGTGGGGGCTTCCCAAGCAAGGGAATTTTCACTTTTCCCCCGTGGGGGCTTCCCAAGCTAAGAATTTTCACTTTCCCCCCCCGTGGGGGCTCCCCAAGCTAGGGAATTTTCACTTCCCAAGCTAGGGAATTTTCATTTTTCCCCGCCGTGACAGCTTCCCAAGCTATGGAATTTTCACTTTTCCCTCCCTTGGAGGCTCTCCAAGCTGCGGAATTTCAAATAGCTAGACAACGACGCCTAGATAGTCCCCCAAATCCCGTGTTCTTTGAATGTGTTTCCATGTTTTTGCAATGGTTTCCTTCAAAGCACGGTACTTTACACTTTTGTCGCCATAAAACCGGTCGAAAACATCATGTTCGACAATGCATCCAATTCCCTTATCTCCCCAACCGTTGAAAATACCGCCAGAATATGGATGATAGGCTTTGATGAGAAGAACGGAGCCACCAAGGCCCAAGAGTATCATGATCCACCATGATCCACCATGATCCACTGTTGTTACACTTGTTGGCTTCCCGTATTCAAGTTGCAAGCCGCAATGTGCGGCTTGCCGATCCAAGGAGACGACCCTGGCTTGAAGACTTCCAGGCGGATTTCAATGAAATGTGCAAGGTGCCAGCTGCATAGGGCCCATGTCCGGACGGTCTATTTGTTGGTACATATCTATCTATCTATCTATTTATCTATCTATCTTTCTATCTATCTATCTATCTATATATCCATCTATCTATCTATCTATCTACCTATCTATCTATTTATCTATCGATCTATCTCTCTCTCTCTCTCTTCCATCTAATTACCTATCTATCTATCTATCTGTCTGTCTATCTGTCTATCTATCTATCTATCTCTCTCTCTCTCTCTCCCTTTCATCTGTCTATCTGTCTAGCTGTCTACCTGTCTATCTATCTATCTATCTGTCTGTCTGTCTGTCTGTCTATCTGTCTACCTGTCTATCTGTTGTGCAGTGTCATTCAGTGTAATGTAGTGTAGTGTAATTTAGTGTAGTGTAG